GCTTTTTTTTGTCTTACAAAGGCCAAGGTCGTATGTGCACGTGCGACCTTACGTGGATCGAAAGCGAGCCGAATTTAAAATTAAAACGAGAGGAATTTCGTGTCAACTCGGGGCACTAACTCCGCTAGGGCAGAATTCGCGACGTTAATATTCTTAATACGTGAAAAATACGACGGCAGGCCGTGATTGCGTGGGAATTGATTCAAAGGCAGGAGTCGCTTTATTCGCTGCCGCTTTATTCGTCTCCGACGCAGCCACGGCTTGCCGCCAATCGCGAACGATCGCACGCGAGATTGTCTGAGGCTAACTCTTGCGGAATCGGTCGTGCACGGGAACAGCGTTATCCAGCGCCGTTCCATTTCTATGTCTTTCTTCGTCTACTTCAAATGAAAATTCGTGAGAAAGCGAGTAAACACATTGGAATAGAAACTGCGCGGGCACTGCAGGTCGGATCTATAACTGGCTCCGCTTGGCGCTACGCTGCGCGGGTGGTGGTGATTCGCCGTAGGTGTCAAGTAGGGTCTGAATAGTTAGGGTTTGCTGTTGTCATTATTTAATGACAACGGGTCGGGGAGCTTCTGCTGCTGCTGCTGCTGTTGCTGCTGTTGGCTCGAGGAATACGGTAAATTCTCAAAGTCGAAGCCCACAGGTGGCATGCTGCCGTGTTTCTGATGCGTCGCCTGCCGCATAGCAGCGATATGAGTTGGCGAAGTGGGCAACGACGGCCTGTTCTTCGCCGGCGACGGCGAGCCCATGTAGCTTGCTTGCGGGGACAGGGTCATGTTGGACTGCACCGAGTGTGGAGGCGACTGATTACTGTACGGCGGTGACAATGTGTTTACCATGCCCTGCTGCTGCCGTTGATGTGGCGCTAAGAGCTGGTCGTGAAAAGGCAGCCCGTAGTTGCTCGTGAAGGTATCCAGGCCAAGCTGTTGCAGACCTTGCATTGACTGGCTTTTGATACAATCCTCGTACGGTGGCGGCTGTTTCGCCGTCGCAGTGTGAGCCACCAAGGGTAACGCGTTACTGTAAAGGCTCGCGCTGTCGTACGGGCTGGTCGGTAGATTGCCATCGGCGCCTTCTGCTCCCTGCGGGATCTCCTGGTTTGGGGGCTGAGCGCCGCGCGGTTTAGCCGGTGCCTTCTTCACTGACGGTTTTCGCCTTACCATCACCACCGCGCCGCCCTCTGACTCCGGACTGTTTGGGTTTCCCGCGCCTGCTTTTGGCCGCTTCTTTGACTTGGTTTGCTTCGGCGCTGAGCCGATTACTGTGGGGTGCGTAATTAATTGTGGATGATTTGAAGATCCTGCAAAAGAGATAATTATGTTACGTGACA